ATTTATTTTTTGAATAAATCATAAAAGTGCTTTTCAACCAAATGCTTTTAAACTAAAATAATCAAAAGGAGCCATTTTCCAAGAATGTGGTGTATAAATTCAGATCGTAACGATCCAAATCAAAGAAATTGATGGGGTTGCACTTTTTATTCTCACAACTTCGAATTAGCTATTTGTTGTACTATTTCCTTAAAGGGAGGAAGAACTCGAAATTTGATTTATGCATTTATTTAAAGTTTTAATAGCAATTTTAAGGCTCCAGCTGGTTTAGCTAAGCAAATCAAAGGCATCTAAAATCCTATCACAAGTAGCAAACTGTCCCTATGTAGATCCCTTTGAAAATTGAGGGGAAGCAAATCGCAAAAATAGCTGTATAGAGTCGCCTTGATGAGATATATTTGGTTAAAATATGATATGTAATAAGAATTTTTATATTAGACATTAGTTGTATTTGGTTATACGTCACGAGTTCGAGTCGTATAACCAACCACTAATGTTTACGGTAGGGTAGACTATCTACATCATACCCCTTGAGATGCCACTCTTTTCCGAATCTTGCGGAAATGCGAGATACTTTGTTCACTAGCTCTTTTTTTACGCTAAAATATTCTTTAAACTTTCACTTTTTTCACGCTATGTCAACGCATATGAAATTACGTTTAAAAGACGTGTGATAATAAACAATCGTATTGAAAAGTAAAAGAGACCACAAATAATAAAAGAAGGAAAGGATAATATATTTTACGAGATCAATTAAACAACTTACTAATCCACGTGTTCAATCACAACGTCTATCGTTCCCAAGTACGAGAAATGTCCTAAAATTGACAATTGAATTCTCACAACATACTAACAAAGGACAATTATGTTGTATATGTAGTTCTAAGAGAATGGCAAAGGACATTTGGCTTTTGCATTTATCGAAAGGCCATATTTATAATTTAGCAGCCCCCACCTTCTCATTTTCGTTAGTCTATCTTTTGTGCAATCTAGTCTAGGTAATAAATGACACTATAGTCGTGGCTTGTCGTCCAAAGTTTTAAGTATTATGTACATACATAGAATAAAGAATTGCGTCCATTTATAGTTAGGGTTATTAAAATACTTTAATATGCTGTGGTTCTATAACTCCTAGGTCGTCTTAGAAAATTTGGAAACATCACATGCCGATATGGTTCGACCTTGTTTGCCCATGTTGGCCCTCTTGATCTAACCTTTTTATTATATTAGAAAACAAGAAATGTAGGGTTTAATAAAGTTCAAGTAGCAAACAAGGGATCAATTCAATTTGAAGTTAGGATTTTATGTTTTTATAAATAGAAGTGGGTGAAAAGTCGGATCCATAATATTAACTTGATAATAACTTTAACCTTTAAAATCTTATCATTGAACTCCAATTTATCTAAAATTTGATTAAGACCGTGTTGAGATTAAGTTAGTTGAGCATAAAAGGAGAATATCAAATATATATATATATATATATATATATCTTATGCAAATTAGGGACCTTTACACGACTAGCCAGTTAGATTCACTGTTTATTTTTTCTAGCCGGTATACATATAATAGACACTGATTATACAAATATTATATATGTATTATACATCCACCAACTATTGTTAGTTTAAACGGTTGAGTGGACGTCTATTTGAGTTAATTATTCTTGTTAATTATATTTGGGGGAAAAAGCAATAGCAACAGCTACACCTCACTCCCAAATAAGTTGGGGTCGGCTTTACGAATTTCCGGTGCAATACTTTAAAATTAATTATCAAAATAAGTGATGGATTTACTGAGGTCGAGTTAATATTTAGGTTATATACACTATCAATATATATATAACTTAAATTAATGTTAAAAATATTTTAGTCAAAATCGCAAATGGTGGTGATTGACAGAAAAAGCCAATAAACTCATGTTTGGACTGTATGAATAGCCAATAATACTACAATAGCAGAGAGAAAAAGGCCAATAGAATCTTGGACAAGGTAAGATTCTCAAGTATCAGAATATCTTTTTCTTGGACATTGAAGATAAGCTAAACAAATAAGGGAATATACTTGACCAATGAAATAGAAATGATACCTAACATGCATGAGGGACAAGACCTTATTAATTAACATAATTATAATTGACCTAGTTAAATAACTAATAAAAATCCAACTTAGCAGTAAATAGAATAATAATATCCATTATATATGCATATTCTTCCAATGCCTAGGAATATTCGAATTGCCAGGAACCGTCGTTATCGTACACCACTATACACTCATTATATATCTATTTGTTTTTCTTTTTATCTTTCTTCACAAATGGATCTAACCAATTGGTGGGAGTTTTTTGTTTTCCAATTGGTTTTATTTTCGTTATTATCTTGGCTAGTTGGCTTCTTTAATGGATAATATTTGGTTGATGTTGCAAAACATTATTTAAAGTTGAAGTTAAAAAAGAGTATTTGAAAGCAGAGACGAATGAGAGTTGTTATATACGTATCCTGATATGTGTTTAAAAATCAATAAATAAGTATAAATAATAAATTTTGAACCAAATAAATTATATGAGTCGTGATAGAATTTCAAACTTTTATGCAAGAGCCGACAGCAATGAGGACAATCGTAGTATATAACCATTGTATTCATCAAATAATTAAAGAATAAAATGGCAAATATTCTTTTCAAGAAAATCACCACAAGATTTGGTTCAAGTCCTCTCTTCCAGATGATATTATTTTAGCTATCGCAATTCTTTATTCTATGTATGTACACAATACTTAAAACTAATGACAATTAGGTCTCTTTGTCTTCAAGTGAGGTAGGAACTATAATCGACGAAAGGTGGTTAGTCGAATATTTTCATAGAAAAATTATATTGGGTATATAAGTTAAATATTACTTTTTATTCATATATATTAAATCTTAAATATCCTTAGCGAAAATTTTGAATTCGTCGCTGAAGATATAATCATATGAAAATTCTTTATTTTCTATGAAACCCCCTCTCCTAACACCACCACCAACAACAAAAACAATTCAGTGTAATCCTACGAGTGAGGTCTGGGGAGGGTAAGATGTACGCAGCCTTACCCCTACCCTGAAAGAACAGAGAAATTGTTTCTGATAGACCCTCAGCTAACCCTCTCCTAAAACCAAAAATAAATAAATCTAAAGTTCATTTCTTTTGCGTATATGTAGCTTTTCGACAATATGATAAGTAGGGTTGTACATGGATCGGGTTGGTTCGAATTTTTTAATTACCAAAACAAACCAATAAAAGTCGGATTTTTTAATCTCGATTTTTCTCGGGTTTTTTGGGTTTTTCGGTTTTTTTTTTCATAAAGTCTTCATAGCACAAAACGTAAAATTTGTGCACCAAATATTTCTTTAATCCTAGTAAGACAGAAATATATAAGATATTTTTCAATAAAATAACATAAATAGGAGATGAGTCATGACATTGTACTAAAATATTCAACAATAAAGATAATAAAATTACATAAAATAAATATTGTTAATAAGCCATAATGAAAACAAATAATTTAAAATCATGACTAATAAGTACTATTATTTACATGACTAACCACTAAAAGAAAAATAAGTTATATATTTTATCTAAACCATGAAAAAACTAAAAAATAGATATCCAACACTATTTTCATCCATAGTACAATTGAATTGAATGTCTTTTATTAGCATTAGTATTGATTTGATTTTGGTTTAGGATTTATTTGAGTTACTAACATTTATGGACTATAAAACTTATTGGAGCATCCAAAAATTATAAGCTCAAGCTTGAAATAATACGTTAAAAGATAAAATTATAAAAAGCTTAAGAAATATTTATAAACTACACTACCATAAATATTTTTATGTATTAAATATATTTAAAACTTCTATACATATAATGTCGGGTTGATTTGGTTTCGATTTGACTTTTTTTAGTTAAAACCAAACCAAACTAAATATAGTCGGATATTTTTTTCCAACACCAAACCAAATCAAACCAAATCATAATCGAATTTTTTTCTCGAATTATCGGGTTAGTGCGATTTTTCATTTTTATTTGTACATCCTAATGATAAGAAACGCTAGGAAAAGCATGTGATAAGAGATGAGTCAGACAAAGAGGAAGAGTAACTTCTACGCCAAATAAAATTTCCCAAAAATTTCCATGAGATCTTCTACCTTTGTGACACATTATAATATGAATTAATAGTAGAAGATTTGCTCAAAAGTCAAGGCTTTTAAATTAATTTTATCTTGTATTTCTTTGGTTGGAAAGGGTCGAGGGTTTCGTTCCTTTTTTGTCAATTAAGCTGGTACAGTTGCACTACAACTAGAGTAATTAATAAGAAATATATATTATGAGGCAAAAAAGTGGATTCCAAAATCTAGAATAATTTAATCTCTAGGCAATGACTTTGATACTTACCTAACTACATTATCTTCATTTACTATTATCATGCTACAGGAATCCAAACTTCTTTGCTACTGTTATTATTTACAAAGTGAACTTGAAATGTAGTTTTATCAAGAAAAGTGGAATAATTAATCCCGACTAATTCCGGGATTAGTTATCCCGAGATTGTAGTGTTATTTTTATCCTTATAAAAGAGTGGAATAGCAATCCCGAAATAACTAATCACGAGATCATTAATTATGTGATAACTTGTTCAAAACAAACGACCCCTTAATAAAAAGCAGAAGTTATAATAGTAAAATAAAATAGATTACCTACGTAAACCAACAGATAAATGTCACATATTTTGTATATATTTTTTTAAACATTATCAGTATATAAAGGCTAAACTCTTTCTTATAAACCTTTCATTACGAGAAATTGTGTAATACTTGAAAATTCTCATGCTTCAATAAAATGGCTAAAGAAGAATCAGATTTTACGAAATCAAGCTAAATACGAATGAAAATGATATTGCTATAAAGAAAAGAACAACTCAGCTTAAGTTAAATGCCTTATTATTGATCTAATATTCCAGATTTCAATAATCCAAAACAATGGGAACCCACCATATTATTCAAAATCTGTCACTGTCAAATTGCGTCTAAGATCCTCAAAAGATATCACAGAAAATATAAAAGAATAAATACGACAAGTTTTCTAAAGACCGAAAAATAACTCTATATGACTCTATTTTATAATAGTAGAAAGGAACAAAAATATATTACAAGAACCGAAGTTTACAAAAATTTCTACACTTTTCAGTAAACTGGTGAAGCAGTGGTGGTATGTGTAGAAGAAGAAGTCGCCGGAGAATTAGAATGTACGCCGCCGCCATCACTATGGCTGCCGCTGCCGTGCTCGGAGGAGCGCGACGGCTTGTTATTGTGCTGCCTTTGTTTTAGGGTTCCACCTGATACATCATGGATGGGACCCTTTGGCAAGGTGGCTATGGGTGCATAAATTCCATTAGAATTGGCAACTCCCGATGCTTCGCCGGAAGCTGATGGTGCTGCGGCGGCCATCGCGGCGTATTCGGGCGGAGGAACCCATATTCCTCCGACTACCACGAATTGTGGTGGTTGTTGGTTGTTGTTGTGAATTGATGAAGGGCTAGGTCTTCTTGTGTGCAATCGATATTTCTGTAACATAGGCAAAATATGATATTTAGGCCAGGTTTGACATCTTGGAACAATTATGTAAAGATAAAATGATGAAATTGTAACGAAAAATTAGTTATTATTATTCTAATATTTATTATAAAATTTACATTAATTAACTTATAACTAATTTGATTGTGCGAATATTTTTAGTCCTACCGATTGTATTCAATATTGTTTGATAGGCATAAAAATATGTTGTAATTTATTCAGCTTAATTTCGACTTACTACTACATAACTTGGAAAAATGTATCATTATTGGAACTCTGCTTAGATCATATATATTGCTCGATGTGGTATCCACAAAAAAATAAATAGTACAAACAATTGTAGAAAGCTTGCGTATATTTTACTAAATTCAAATAGCTTTTTGTTTTTAAGCTCAGCTAACGATTTACAGCAACAGTTACCAAATTTAACCAAAAGCAAAAGTCAAGGTGTAGATTTTATTTTATAAAAATATATAAATTATTATTTAGTTTTGAAATGAAAAAAGAATTCATTGAAAGTAAAAGTGTAGTTATCCAAAAATCTGAGTATATCCAAATAATCCAAAGCAGCCCGTACTAGAATTTATTAATTGGACCTTAATTCAAATTTGCACTACCAAACAAAAAATAATATGGCACTTTCCCAATTTTTGCTACATCAAAGTTTATCATGTTTCACGTTTGCCAAAGCAAAAGGGATTAATACTTTTTGAAAAAGAAAGGAGCCAAAAAATTATAAAACAAACCTGTAAATGACTTTTAACTTCATCATTAGTAAGTCCATCCACCTTCATTAGTTCCCTAATTTGTTTTGGCGTAGCAACTGCAAATAATTTTCAAGAAAAATCACCATCATTAGTACAAACAAATATTAATTAATTAAACGTAAAACGAATTACTATTTTTTTTTAATTATTACCATGAGAACCGCCAAGTTGTTGTAGGGCTTGTAAAAACCTTCTATGTAATTCAGGAGACCAACACCTCCTTTGTTTTCTTTTTTCATCTTTCTCTTCTTTTTTACTTCCACTGCCGGTCTCCGCCGTGGAACTAGCTGCCGCCGCTGAAACAACGGCTGAGGTCGGTGGTTCGATGGCGGCGGGAGCACTTTTCTCTTTCTTGAATGGATGAAAAGCTCCACCACTTCCATTTTTCTTCACCTCCACCACTGCCACCTTCTTAGGTTTTAATTCCTATAATAATCCCACAAAAAATAAAAATAAGAACTTAGATAACAAAAATTAAAGACTAAAATAGTAAGTACAAAATTTAGAAAGGAAAAAAAAAATTATATTACCTCTTTTGGGGTAGGATCTGGGGTTGGATTATTATTCCAGAGCTGAACAGATCTAAGCCAATCAGATTTTTTACAACTTTTGTCACTGTTCTTGTTATCCTTAGAACAACTTGTATCACTAATATTATACGTCTTTGATTTATGAGATTCACGTTCATCTTCATCTTCTTCTTCATTTTCATGAGAAAATGTTCTTTTTAATGGAATAAATTCTTCTAAAATAGGAACATCACTAGATGTATGTTCCTCAGAACATTCAACATCAGATTGTGCATTAAGGTTGTACTCAGTTGTCGTACCAGATAATTGTTGCTTGTATGTGTCAATAGCTGTTCAAACAAAAAAAAAAAAAAAAAAAAATTCAAAAAAAAAAAAAAAAAAAAAAAAAATTCACAAACAATGAATAAAATGGACAAATTAAAGAAATGGGGTTTTGTTATTTTGCTTGAAATAAATAGTGTTAGTTACGTACCTTGAGTTACAAGCTCAAGACAAAGAGGAAGTTCTCTTGAGAAAACTTGAATCTTGTTACGTTCTTCTTCTAAAGCATCAATATATTGTTGGCATCTTTGCATTTTCTCTGTGTAATTATTTTCATGGTTATTGATCATCATATTTGGGAAGGAAAAGAAAAGAAAAGTTTCTTTGAGTTTTCCAGCTTTTGTGATATGATTGACCTAAGGGAGAAAGTATGAAACTCTTTTTTTAGGCTAAGGCTAATGTGGGAAGAGAAATGAGGGGACCAAGAGGCATTTAAATGAGGAAGATTATTTGTTTTGTCTAAGCATAGAGAGATCCGGAATGATAATTTAGAATAAAGGTATCTAAGTAGAATCACAAAAGGGAATAAACTTGGTTCACTAGAAAAAATATATAAAACCCTTATAATGGTTTGAGGCATATATTCCCCCAAGAATTTAGTTTAATGGTAAAAGCATAACGCAGGTAGATGCATATTACAAATTCAAACTATCACAGAATAAAAAATTGATAATTTAGTGTAAGAAATTACAGATTAATTACCACCGCACTTTGAACCATGCCACTAGCTTTTGAAATTTTTTCGAATATCATAAAAAAAATTAGTGTATATATATACAACATATACATAGGCAGAGCTAGTGTTTAGGTACAGGTTCGGTCGAATTAAGTTATATTAGTTCGGATCTTATATTTGTCTATGTATAAGTTATTAATTTAACACTCAGGATCGTTTGGTAGGATGTATTAAAAAAAATAATATATGTATTAACTTTGGTGTTATTAATCCGTTATTTGTTATTGTTGTTTTCACCAATATATAACTAAAACTTGTATTAGTTATATATCATATTCATTATTATTTTTGTACATAGAAAATCATAGCATTAACAATCATAATTTTTATTACATGAATAAACATGTATAAAGACAAAATTGTCCTTTCAAAACCTTTAATACATCAAACTAAACGGTCAATGAAAAATAATTCCAACATAACTAATCTTATCGTAACTAATCTTAACATTAATAATATATTATATTCAATATTATTCTTATATACGCTACCAAAAGACTCCTCAATAATTTAAAAGAATTAAAATCTCAATTTTATATGCTTTAAATCCGGATTTAGCCTCAATATATGATATCTTTTCAAAAAAGAAGAAAACAAAATGATTAATTCGTTTTTAGAAAGGTAGTGGGGTGGGGTGCGTGAGGGGTCGAGGTCGGGGCGTCGCGTACTAAACGAATCTTTGATGAGTTAGGTTTGTTTTTAGGCAGAGAGAAAAAGAGAGGTAAGTATTCTGTGAATATTCGAAAGAGTGATTCTTATTATAGTGTGGGCTGGCATTGACGTAACACATTACTATCAGATAAAGATAAGATCAAAGACTTCACTGTCTTTTCTTTTAATATTTTGCTCTTTTGTCCTCCTAGTTTAAAGGCATTCATTTAAGATACCTCTTTTCTCACTTGGTGCATCAATGAATATGAATGTTGCATCCACTTTTTTCTGCTTGAATTATAGACCTACTTTAATAATCATGTAAATATACATATATACATATTTGCCCTTGAGCGCTTCGGTGAATAACAGCATGGGCAAATCACTCTGCTGCGGCGAGCAAACTGATGTTAAGTTTTCATACTCATTATTACAATGTATTAGTGAGTGCAATAGTATTTTGTACTTTAGTTAATATCAATATTAGATTACTATAAGATTATAAGTAAAATCTATTGAATCTCATAATGTAATTCTTTCAAAATGTATGTTTATTCGTATATAACTTATCACATTTTTTTAGGTTCTTAAACTTTGGTTTATTTTATTTTGCATTTCTTTTATAAACCGATGGAGAAACTATATTGATTGTATATATTTTTGGTAAGAAAAGGTGCATAATTAATCATGAACTCACAGAAATAAATAGATTAACACATAAATGGCTCTTATGGAATCATGAAGCAACTAGGAACCTAAATTGTCATAAGATTCAGCAAGAAAATGAATAACATGACCAAAAAAGTGAGCGAAGCGAGATAAAATTTGCTAAAAATTATCTTTCCAATTAACATAAGAGATCAAAGTTTGATCAAACAAACTCATCGTTTGAACAATAATAAGATGAAACAAGCATTTTTTAATCCATCCCAAATTAGGAGGATTTATAGTGTTTTCACACTTTCCCTCTAGTGTGACTCGAACCCAGGACCTAATGGTCGTGGATGGAGGTGCTTTTACCAACTGAGCAAATCTCACTTGTCAAGAAACAAGAATTGAAGTCACACTTCTTCTTAATCATGTCGACAACCACCTTATTAACACATTCCACAAGCTTGATTCACTAACAAAAGGGAAAAAGTAGAAATGAGCCAAGATAGAGGGGCTTCAGCAAGAAAGCATGGAAAAACTATGAGGACAAAATGTGCACATATGTGGAACATTAAGGGTGCAAATGTAATTTAACTTTTGGTTGAAAGATATTTTCTCTATCTAAACTAGAACTAGAACTTTCTTTTGCTTGGAATATACTCCTTTTTTGGCTTAGAAGAATCACGACAACATAAAAAACTTTAACGAATCTTTCTCATAGCGCGTGCTACCACGCTATATCCATCTCCGCGTATGGTTGATTCTCCCATTCAATGCTCACAAATGAACTTGGCTTTTCACTCTCTCAAAGGGCCAACAGAATCGTTTCTTGTGTGTCCCAGACGCATGCATAATGCGTGACGATAACGCACTAATGGTGATCTGACACAGTTATCGCTTATTGGGTCCCATCACTTTGGGGACCGCATTCATAAGGTAGTTGTATCCGAATATTCTTTTTACCAAATTTAGAGTACTTGATAAGTCTCTACTCCGTTGAGAAAAAGAAAAGAATAATAAAGAAGATAAGTCTATGCTCCTTTTTGGTATCCAATGGAAAATTAGTGTTCATATCTTGATTTTAATTCTTCAATACATTAATATTTTCTAATGTGTTCCCAAAACTGTCTCACTAAAGTGACCCGATATCAAAAAGTAAACCTTCTCAAACTTTCCAAAAATTTAATTTTTGGTATTTCAAGCCTAATTCTTATACGGATCTTCAAAAAAAATTTCGGACACGTTCCTAAACCCAAAATCACCATACGGAGCTATTGAAATCATAAAAATTTAAATCCGAGGTTGTTTACACCTAAGTCCACATCCGGTCAACTTTTCTAACTTAAATTTTCAATTATGAGACTAAGTATCTCGTTTCACTCCAAATTCCTTCCGGACCCGAACCAACTAACCCGGTAAGTCATAAAACAACTGCAAAGTATAAAATTGAGCAGTAAATGGAGAAATAGGGTTATAATACTCAAAACGACTAGCCGGGTCATTATAACTAATTCCATAATTTTAATGTAAAGTTATTCAGGATTAGCTAGTATCCCAAACTAAACATGAGATAAAGTTAATCTCAAAATTTATTTGGAATTATTATCCTTATCTCATATACTAAACGACCCGTAAAAAGGGAATCTTGGAGTAACGACAAATGTTTTTGGAAAAATAAAAATTTGCATAAGTTATAAGTATAGTTCAGTAGATGAGAACAAAAAATCGTAAGGGTTCAAGTCCCTCTATCCCCAAAAAGACTATTTCACTCCCAAACTATAAACGCATTGAAGTCAAGAGGCCGACCCCCAATTCGTTTTTTTTTTCTCTCCATCCGGACCAATCCACCGACTCGGCTTCTTAGATTTAAGGTGATTTGTGTATCTACCCCAACGATACTATTTGTTCCGTACCCTTATGGAAGAAGATCCGGACACGATATGCAGCAGCTTACGATGTAGTTGATTCGGAAACATACGCCAGGGCGATTGGGTAGGAAGTTAGATTAGGCCAACGGTACTTTCAAAGTTGAAAGAAAGAAGGAATCACTATTTCTTGGCTGCTAATATATTAGATATCGTGCAAATCCTTTCTATATGACTTGTGATATATATGTACATATAGAAATGAACATCTTTGAGCAAGGAATCCTTTGTAACTTATACGTTACAGGTTCGAGGTGTGTAATCAGCTCATGATACTTACAATAGGATAAATTTCCTACACCACACTTTCTTGGGGTACGATCTTTTACCAAATCTTATGTGAATGCGAAATACATACATCGAACGGTCTTTTTTTCCGGAAGATGGCTCACTATGTTCAAGCACAACTTAGACCGGGGACTAGCCAATCTATGCATCAAAGTTGTTTGTTGTGGAAACAAATTACTACAATATCGTAATAAGCATTAACATGCCAACAAGTTTGTTACTCGGTAACTAGTATTATGTATGTTCGGTAAGAACTTATTGACCCACTTAATAAGTTTGGTACCAAGCCCTACACGTAGTTCATGAGCTTTAAAAATTTATTAAAAGGAGAATACTTGGTTTTTTTATGAAACTAATCAAAGTCAAATAAGATTAAAATTTCGGGCTAACCTTTTTCTGTAACTTTGTCTAATATCTACACATTTCTAAGGAGTAGTAGTTAAGAAATTCTTTTTAAGATATCTTGACACAGTTGGTTGAAAGATACATTTTTCAAATAGAAATCTACCAACAAAATTGGGATATTCTCCTACTTTAGCGTTTTAATTTACAATAGTAAAAAAATATACGGTTGAATGGCATTTCGAGTTTCCGCAACCACCTCATACCAAATATCTATAAATATTTAACCGTGAATGAAATTATTATAGTAAATTAACTTGTAGTCACTATAAAATTTATAAATTTCAAAATTCTGAATCCGCGTCAGTATATGAGACAGTAAACGAGTGAAAATATTCTAGAAGGGATGTCATATATATGAAATGGCATATTCTTTCATCAATGCCTTCTTGTTAGGTTGACAGAAAGGGGTTTTCATAGAACTGCCTTTGTTTAAAATATTTACTCAGAATATCCTATATAATTAGTTCTCTGTTCTATACTTATATTGTTATTTTTCTCTTATTTTTGTCACGAACTCACAAGACATATGGGGTCTCAAATTCTCTATCACTGTTCTGATCAAGTTACTCCAAAATCTTAATTATGGCGACACTTGATTACTTTGACAACTAATGATAGAATAATAGTTCATTGAACAAATTACTTTGTGAGTATTTAGCTCCACTCTAAATTTAATTATATGTAACGTTAGTATCTGCACTGTAAAATTTTCCCAAAAAAATAAAATACTAAAGAACTTAATTTAATTTATTCCCAAAGAAAATTAAATAACAAAAGAAGCAAATGCACCATTAAAGGTTGTGGTTGAGTGGTAAGTACCCCTCTAT